TCCAAATCACTGATGAAGATATTGAACAGTGCAGGCCCAAGGACCGAGCCCTGTGGGACCCCACTTCCCACGTCCTTCCAGGTCGAGAAGGACCCATCCACTACCACCCTCTGGGTGCGACTCTCTAACCAGCTGGCAACCCATTGGACTGTATGGGTGTCTACGCCACAGTCCCCCAGCTTCCTAATGAGAATGGGGTGAGAGACAGTATCAAAAGCCTTCCTGAAGTCTAGGAAAACTATATCCACTGCCACCCCTGCATCCGATGATTTAGTGACCTGGTCGTAAAAGGCCACTAGGTTGGTCTGACAGGACCTGCCGCTGATGAACCCGTGCTGGTTGCCCCTGAGCATGCCGTTCCCTGCTGGTTTCTAGTTTCAAGTGGAGAAAAATCAGCGTTGCTTCCACATGTGAGGATGCACCTCACTCTCTGCACCTCTTTTTCATACTTCTACATCTGCCCACCGATGGGAGCTACATTAAAGTTGGTGGAGGGGGAAATGGACCTGGCACCTCTAAACCACAACTGTGGAGAGAGGGGTGTTGGCTGTAATTCTGTTGGTCTAGGGACATAGGCTAGCAAGGTTCTTTGGGCAGATGTGATATCTTATTAGACCAACTAAATAGTTGGAAACATTGTTCTTCACAAGCTTTGCAGCACAAACCCACTTCAGGCATTGGGAGTCTCAGACATTCAGGGTCTGGGCCTGAATGCTTGCAAATAATTTTTTTTCCCAACTATTTAGTTGGTCTGATAAAAAATATTGCATCTACCCAAAAAACCTTGCTTGCCTAACTGAGCCTGCTAGCAGGAAACAGATACACCTTCCGACCCTAGACCTAGGACAGAGGACCAGCTACCGCCTTGGGCATGCGCACTGAAGGCACAGGGGACACAGGCTTTGCCCCCGGACAGCCCCGCCCCTCCCTGCGTCCTCCAATGCGCTGCACACCGTAGCCCTCCGCAGCGCAACCGATAGGGGGCTCTTGTCACGCCTGAGGGGTGCGTGTGCGCATGCGTGGAGCGCTTCACCCGGGCGCAGGTGGGGGAGGGGGAAGCGAAGGTGGAGGGTGGTGCCGGGCTATGGCGGTGCTGCTGGAGACCACGCTGGGCGACCTCGTGATCGACCTGTACACGGAGGAGCGGCCGCGCGGTGAGGCGGGGGCAAAGGGAAAAGAGCCAAGGGCCGGGCTAGCCACGGGACGACTGATCAGAACCGCGCTATTACCAACCGCCACTCACGCCATTAAAGGCCGGGAAGCGCTGCGCATGCGCGAGGGGGTGGCAGGCCGAGACTGGAGGGTGTTTTGAGCCGCCCGTGGCGGGCGAGCTGGCTGCGCCTGCGTGGTGGCTGAGTTCTGACGTAGGAAACAGCTGGGGGACAGAGAGAGTCATAGACGTGATGGTCCGTGGGACAGGGGCAACCAACCTGAATGGATAGGCCAAGGAGAAGAAAGTGGGGTAGTGGATTAGGCAGGGAGCAGAAAGCAGAGCAGTGGATCAGACAGAGTATGAATT